TTTTGTTATTGTAAGTGAACAATCATCTAGTTTTCCGATATTGATCTATTATATCAATCCTGATACTAATAACTTTTCATTACAATTAACAGTGGTTAATGGAAAATGCAAGCTTGATCATGATGTTCATCATAAACATGAAATGAAACGAGTAAGTGCAGAATATTCATTATCAAATTTAAATAGTGTCTAAAACTCTGTTTGTATTGATATACTTTCTAAGTCAACCTAAAAAGTTTGGTATATCTTAACCTGTAGAGACGACTGCTAACATCCGAAGAATGGTGCTTGCAATGATTGGTTGATTACTTTCTAGAATTGATCCATTGTGGTTGCTGCAACACGGAAACATGTCCATCTTAAGTCGTTTTATCGGTCAACAATTCCGCTTAACAATTTGGTTTGATTAGTTAATTTGTGTATTTATCACGGCAAAGGAAACAACCAAAACAAAAGTAACATTGAAAGTACAAGTGTGTTAATAATGTCAATTTAATCATGGCCAAAAATATGGTTTACTTTTGATTTGTAACACTGAAAGGACCAGTTGAAAATTCAAGGTAATCAGTTCAGATGATCAATGTCGTTGGATAACCAAAGTTAAGTTATTTGTAAACAACCGAAATTCTCGAAGTTGCAACAAGAAGCACAGCTGATAAACGAACTTTTAAACTCTATTTTTCTCGCGACTTTTTCTTTCGATTTTATGTGCAAAAGAAAAGCATAGCTTTCGGTTTAATATCGATTTATGGATTGTTGTCTTGTAATGTGCTCAGTCTAAGTCGCGTTAATCAAAATATTGCATAATAGTACATAACCGATCATGCACGAAACAAAATATACAAAGTAATAATCATAATTAAAAGGTTGATTCAGATCAAGTATTGGAAAGTAATTGCGGAAGATTAATTACTCTATTGTCTAAATCATTGAATCTGATATAAAAGGCTAGCAGTAATGTTAACTTTTCGTAGTTAAATTTGCTTTAAATAATTTGGTGTCTGGTCTCTGGTATTGAGAGCAACAACACAAAAAATGTACGATTTGACGGATTGGAAACAACGTATTGCCACCGTCTTTCCGTTTAACGGAGCCAAATCAATTGTGATAAAAGCCATTGAATTAGTGTTTGGACTTCGTTTAGCCAATTTTGATGATGAAATAGCAATCAAAGATCTAAAGCGATTTGAATCAATTTGTGTTTCATTCAATATTTTACCGAACGGATACGCTCAAGATGAAAGTATAACTCCATCAAAATGGACTAAAACCAGATCGATCCTCTATTCCAGTCTAATGACTGTTCATATTGTTCATTTAATATTGTTGAGTGTTTTTGATCTACCAGAAGATTTGGCTTTAATATTGGGAGACTTTTTCTACGGTCATCGAAGTCGCAGATATTTTTGGACTTTCTTGCTAAATCTAACTATTTTTAGTGAAGTTTTAAGACATTATTGGATACATATATACAAAACCAGTGGACCATTTTCATTTCATATGCATAACTTTGTTTACGATAAAGGATACAAACCTGAAGCACTTTTCATGAGCCAATTTTACTGTCACAAATATCGTTTTGTATTCAATAGTTTAGCTAATTTGTGGATCAGGATAATTGAGATATCTGTAATAGGCATCGGTCCAGTTTTAATGATCATTGTTCAATCAACATCTCAACTAGCTAAAATACCTCAACAATTTATTTTCACTTACTTTTGGCTATTGATAAGTTATTTTGGGATTGTCTGCACTGTAGGAAATTTGATGTTAACTGGTGCAATAGTTACCACTGATTTTTCTTATTATTACTTTAGAGCTTGTCATGTAACGAAAACTTTGCATAATTTTATTACTGAGAAGATGTTTTTACGAAAGAACGATTTCTTGCCTTATTATGAAACAATCATTCGAGATATAATTTTATCTCTAAACGAAACAGAGTATCGAAACCATAAATACAGAAATTGGCTTATGATTATATATTTTGGAGTATCTTTTACTGCAGATTTCGGGTTCTATTCTGCCGCTATAGTCCATATTGATAATGGATCCTTGGACATCTCTATAATGGCTATTTCTGCTTTGTCTTTATTCGTTATGGGGATTTGTACCTATGTAAATGGTATCTTATTGACAATGGTGAGTTTATATCATTAGTGGAATTTCACTTCATTCTTGTTCATATCAATATTACTTTTATTAGATGCTAACTTGTAGTAAAAATATTCTAGAAGTAGCTCAATATTTGCCTCCAGATGTGAAATCGTTCATAAAGGTAATTTCCTTTCTATCTCATAAAGCTTTAACATACCGATGGTTTGCCATTTAAGTTTTATTTTTAGTTCACTGACTTACAGAGTCGACTTTCAAGAACTGATATTGCATTTACTATTGGTGATATCTTCGATTTGACTACATGGATTTTTGTGATTGTAAGTAGACAATGATCTGATAATCTCTATAATACTATCTCTTGACCACTTTTCATTTCAATTAACAGTATTTGATCGAAAATGCAAGCTTAATCATGATGCTCACCATAAACGTTAAATGAAACATGAGTAAGTGCAAAGTATCAAATAAATACGTGCTTGAAACTATAATTTTTGTTGATGAAACTGACCAGAAAAATCATGACACATAAGACTTAAAATCATAAACTTGCCGAGTATGCTTGAAATCTTATTGATGACGAATTTTTTGTAAAATCAATAAAATTATCAATCAATTACCCAAAACAATGGTTAAAAACCTGATAAAAGGCCAAAAAGATTCATCAACAACGTCAATATATCGCAGTTAATATCTATTGCATCGATGCAAAATCAAAACTAACGGACATAAATGTTGGTCGAAAAACATAGTAAATTAAAAGTTCATGCTTTGATGATTGACTCTTTTATGATATTTTTGGGTAAAATTTGGTTTGTTTTCTGGTGCAATAATTAACATTGATTCTTCTCATTTTTAGTTACGAGTTTGCTATTTATTGCTCTAACTTTTATGGTTTCTGGTTGATGGAACGAAACAGAGTATCGCCCATAAAGTCAGCGCTTGGCTAATATTTTTGTATCTTGGATTACCTTGCATCGCAAACTTCGGGATGCAGCTTTTTACAACACCTTTAAAGATTTATTTGTTTTATAAGCTGCAATTACATCGAATTAAAGAATACTCAATTGATTTTTCTTTCTCGAATTGGTCGGCAACACATAACTATATCTAGTTATATCTGTTTAAAAATTTAAAGACTGAAAAAATAAAGATGATCAATACAATCAATGTATCAATAAATTATATTCAAAAAATAATAAAATCTACTGATTGATCAAAGAATGCTGATTGTAAGTGATATCATTCTCGAAATATAGATGTGCAAAGTTTTGAGGCCAATGGCCAAATCAAGAGAACAGTTGAAAACATTTTTTAATCCATCATGTGAAGATACAATTTTAATGGACAAAGGATAAGTTTCCGCTCGCTAATTCTTACGGTCACAAAATGCGGTCAATTTAACTGCAAATTGAATTTGATCTGTTTTAAAAAAACTAAAATGTTATTTTTCAAGTTAAGACCGTTTTCTGGTTTGTCAGCAAAAGTTAATACATCAGTATAGATAGTTTGATGAAAAAATCTGCTTCCATAGCTTCACAAAAGGCGATTGAAGTTTCAACTTTGACCTCAATTTTCTCGAAAACTGTGGATCGTAGAAACTTTTTAATATCACTAATGGATTCAATTTAACAACAAACACACAACTTGTTTACTCTTAACTCGAAAGTCAAAGTTTCTGGCCTCACTTCTTTCTTTTTTTATTTTTCTCTTTCATAATTATTATTTTGAATTTCAAACAATTAATGAAACTTGAGAATTGCGATTATATTTAACTAGATCTGTATTTAGGTCTAATGTTGACCGTGAGTAACATTGAGATTGTTATATTTTCTGCTTCGAACTAGAAAAATACAAAAGTTTAATTGCATAAAGTCATTAAATCTTAACAATATATGGATTGATCATTAAATGTATTTGCACGAATTAAATTGAATAAAAAATTAATGTTGTAAAAGATGAATTTCACTATTGATCGCTTTTTTAAGCTTTATCGCTTTAATAAGTTATACTAAAGTTAATCATTGTTCCGAAATATTGATCCAATGTATAAAGTTTTCAATGATGTCTATGAACAACACTTCAATAGCATTGTTAGTTTGATCAGTATTGCAGGGTAGTTCAAGCAAAATTTAAAAAGTTTGAAAAGTTTTGTGAAAATGATTCAGTAACTTTGTTTATTAGTGTTTAGACTGTGATGTTGATTAAACAGAAATAAAGCTTTAAAACGACTTGAATCGATTCGTGTTCATTATTTAACCAATTGGATTTGTTCGAGATCAAAGTGTAACTCCATCTAAATGGACTAATACTGTATTTTCCTGGTCAATCTATTTGTGGTCAAGTTGCAAGACATCATTGGAAATATTTATGCAAATCAAATGGAAACATTTTAATTGCAATAGAATCTCAAAACTTTATTTCATAGTTTTCTCACTGAATAATGAATTTCTTTGTAGATGGAATTGAATCTCGCCCTGTGTCTCGAAGTTGCAAATAGATTTCAACGCTAAATAAAACAAAAATTTTGAGGTAACAGACGCTAAGGGAAGTTTACTTAATACTCATCGAGTTACCTGGTCTTGAGTGTTCATCAATCATGTTGAGGAAAAAATGGTTACAGCTATTACATATTCATTGCATTGTAATACTTAAAGTATCTCAACACTTCTCTAAATTGATTGTTAACGTAGTTTCGGTTAAACGACTATTTAAACTCCAATTTTCCTCAAGATTTTCCCTTTCGGTTTTCGAGTGCAAAAGAAGAGCATAGTTTTCGTTGTGATATCGATTTATGGATTTCACTGTTGTCTAACGTGCTCAAAAAGTCTAGGTAGCGCAAAAATACAAATCATAATCGATTGCACGGAAGAAAAGGCATACAACAAGGTTATAACAGCAATTAAGACTTGGAAAACTTATTTCGATCAAATAATGGGAAGCAATTGTAGAAGATTAATTACTCAATAGGTTAATTAATCTTTTACAATAGTTCTATTGCTATAAAACTTTGAATTAAGGATTGCAATTAACCATTAACAGTGATGCTAACTTCCAATTTTCTTACAAAGGCTTGTTTGGTTTAGTATTTTATACTAGGTAGTAAAACAGTTAAAATGTTTGATTTCACAGCCTTTGGAACCAAAACGATTCAAATAGTGTTTGGACTTCGTTTAACCGATTTTGATGATGCAGATGCAATCAGTGATTTAAAGCGACTTGAATCAATTTGTATTTCATTCAATATTTTACCAAACGGATTCGCTCAAGATGAAAGTATAACTCCATCTAAATGGACTAAAACCAGATCGATCCTTTATTCCAGTTTAATGACTGTTCATATTGTTCATTTAATATTGTTGAGTGGTTTTGATTTACCAGAAGATTTGGCTTTTGTATTAGGAGACTTTTTTTACGGTCATCGAAGTCGCAGATATTTTTGGGTTTACTTGCTAAATCTAACTATTTTTGGGGAGGTTTTAAGACATTTTTGGATACATTTATACAAAACTGGTGGACCATTTTCATTTCATATGCATAACTTTGTCTACGATAAAGGATACAAGCCTGAAGCTTTGTTCATGAACCATTTTTATTGTCGTAAATATCGTTTTGTATCTAATAGTTTAACTAATTTGTGGATAAGAACAGTTGTAACATCATGCATAAGCATGAGTCCAGTCTTGATCATTATTGTTCAATCAGTATCTCAATTACCACCTGAAACACCTCAACAATTCATTTGCACTTATTTTTGGCTATTAATAAGTTATCTCGGGATTGTCTGCTCTGTATGCAACTTGATGTTAACCGGTGCAATAATAAACATTGATTTGTCCTACTTTTACTTTAGAGCTGCCCATGTAACTCAAACTTTGCACAATTTTGTTGCTGAGAAGATGTTATCGCAAAGAAGCGATTTTATGCCTTACTACGAAACAACTATTCGAGATATCATTTCATTTCTCAATGAAACAGAGTATCGTAATCATAAAGTGCGGAGCTGGCTTATATTTTTGTATATTGGAATATCTTTTACTGCAGATTTTGGGTTTTACTCTACCGCTATAGTTCATATTGACCATGGGTCTTTTGACTTTGTCATTATAGCTATTTCTGGTTTGTCTTTAATCGCTATAGGTGGTTGCTCTTATACGAATGGTATTATGTTGACAATGGTGAGTGAATGATCGATGATTGAAAATCACATTGTAACTCATTTCATTTGTATTAGATGCACTCTTGTGCCAAAAATTACATGAAAGTGACCAAATATTTGCCTTCAGATGTTACTCCATTCTTAAAGGTAATTTACTTCATCTAATTCATTATGCGATATTATGATGATTTACTAGTGTCATTTTATTTCTAGTTTACTGATTTACAAAGTCGACTTTCTAGAACTGACATTGCATTTACTATCGGCGAGATACTGAATATGACCACATATGTTTTTGTTATTGTAAGTCCACAATCATTTCGTTTTCCGATTGGGACATCTATTATATCAATACTAATACTAATTACTTTTCATTACAATTAACAGTACTTGATCGAAAATGCAAGCTTGATCATGATGCTTATCATAAACATGAAATGAAACGAGTAAGGGGAAAATATCAAATTTAAACATTGTCAACCTTTAAAGTGGACCTGAAAAGTTTGATATACCTTAACCTTTAGAGACGAAACCCTGCTTACAATGATTGATAAATCACAGTCTAAAATCTGCAGCATTGTATTTGTTGCTGCACGGAAATATGTCACATCTGAAGTGGTTTTATCGAGGAACAATTCGCTTAACAGTTTGGTGTTATGATATAACTTGTGGATTCATCACGGCAAAAGAATCAAAAAAGAAGTAACATTGAAAACACAATTGTGTTGATAATGTCAGTTCAATCATGGCCAAAAATCTAGTTTACTTCTGATCTGTAACACTGAAATGACCAGTTAACTAACTTAAAGTGGAGATCTTAACCAGCTCACGATGTCGTTGGCTAACAATTCATTATTCAATTTAATTTCTGTCTTTCGTTTTCTTATTTAATCAAATTAAGGGTAAATGCTCGACATGCATTATTAAATAACCATTGTTACGAACCAGACAGATATTTGAATTGATACAAAATTGAAACTAACATGCAGAAAAGCCTTGTAATTAGACTCTTTCTCGGCATTTCGGGTAAAATCGGGCAACGATTAATATTGATTTGATCTGCTCAACATCCTCAAACTTTGCATAATGTTGCTGAGAAGTTATTTTTGCAAAAGAGCGATATCTTGCCTTATGAGACAAAGTGAGAATCTGGTTCATAGTTCTGTATCTCGGAATAACTTTTTAGCACAGTTTTTGAGTTCTACTTTGCAGCTATAATCCATATTGAACATGGATCTTTGCATTCACAGATTTTTGCAGCACCTTTAAAGAGTTATTTGTTTTATAAGCAACAATTATATCGAATTAAAGAATCCTCAATTGATTTTTCTGACTAGAATTTCCAGAGAATAGTTTTAAAGTTTTTTATCCACCTCGGGTCCAGTTATATGTGAAATAAGTGTGACTTTTAGCTGAATGATCAATATTAATGCAATTTTGCGATAGCTATTGGGAATCCATTTATCAATCAATAGTTTAAAGGAAATATTCACAACTTTGAATGAGAGTTGCGATTATATTTAACTAGGCCTGTTTTGGATCTAATGTTGACCGTGAATAGCATATATTAGATTGTTACATTTTTGACGTCAAACTAAAAGAATACAAAATTAGAGGTTAATTGCATAAAAGTCATTAACCAATCTTACCAACATGCGGATTGATCATTAAATTTATTCATATTTGAACGAATTAGATACTTAATTGAAATTGAATAAAAAATTTATGTTGCAAAAGATGAATTTTACTATTGATCGCCTGTTTAATAATTCATATTAAAGTTAATCATTGCTGAAAATATTGATTCGATCAATTTTCAATGATGCCCGCAAACAACACTACAACTAGCATTGTTAGTTTGATCAGTACTGTTGATGAGCTCAGTACTCAGCATGGTATTCAAGTATGATGATCTACTTCACACGTTTGAAATTTATTAGAAATGCGTTTACTTACAGATTTAAGCGCAATTTTGATTGAAGTTTATTCATTTTCGACTGTGTTTAAGTGATGTTATTGAAACAAAAGCAATCAAAGATTGAAAGCGACTTCAACCAATTCAATTTGATTCATTATACTACAAATGGAATTGCTCTATTAATAGATCAATGTGTATTTCCGTCTAAATAGGCAAAGATCTTGGACTAAATGGACTAAAATTTTGGTTCTATTTTGGTAAAGCTTTAAGATATTATTGGATACATTTATACAAAACAATTTTCATTTCAGTGAAATGTTTATAACTTCATTTTATTGTCTTTATCCGCTCTGATTATTGGAAGTTCTTGTAGATGAAATTGAATCTTGACTTATATTGCACCTTATATCTCCAAGTCGCAGAAAAAAACAAGAACTCGAAAAAATGAAGCCACGAGTAATATTACAGATGCTGAATATGACGAAATTTCTTGAGTTACCAAGACTAAATTTATTCATTAATTGTAATACTTGAAGCATTCAAATGCGTTAAAGTCAGAAACATTGTACCTCTCATCCATTGTTCAGTTAAACGACTATTTAAGTCTATTTTTCTCAAGACTTTTTTCGTGTTCGAAAAGCATTGCTTTCGTTTTAATATCGATTTATGGATTTCACAGTTGTCTTGTAACGGAAGGAAAGCAATATAAGGTTGCACCATAATTAAGGACTTAAGTAGATGAATAGATGAAAAATGATTTCAAGATTAATTGCGCTATTGTTTAAATCTTTAGCAAAGCTTGCAATTAACTACGGTTGATATATTGATCAGTTAGAAAAAGTTAACAGTGATGTTAACTTCTTATGGTTAAATTTGCTTGAAAAGTTTTTCTAAGCGTCTATTTTGATGTTTGGTTTAATATTGGAAGTAGATACACAATAGAAATGTTTAATTTCACAGCCTTTGGAACCAAAACAATTGTGATAAAAGCCATTCAATTAGTGTTTGGACTTCGTTTAACTGATTTTGATGATACAGATGTAATCAAAGATCTAAAGCGTTTTGAATCCATTTGTATTTCATTCAATATTTTACCAAATGGATTCGCTCAAGATGAAAGTATAACTCCATCCATCCATCGATCCTTTATTCCAGTCTAATGACTGTTCATATTGTTCATTTAATATTGTTGAGTGGCTTTGATTTACCAGAAGATTTGGCTTTTATATTGGGTGACTTTTTTTATGGTCATCGAAGTCGCAGGTATTTTTGGCTTTACTTGATGAATCTGACTATTTTTGGTGAAGTTTTAAGACATTTTTGGATTCATTTATACAAAACTGGTGGACCATTTTCATTTCATATGCATAACTTTACATACGATAAAGGATACAAACCTGAAGCACTGTTTATGAGCCAATTTTACTGTCACAAATATCGCTTCATATCTAATAGTTTAGCTAATTTGTGGTTAAGAACAATTTTGATCTCTGTAATAAGCATGGGTCCAGTTTTAATCATCATTGTCCAATCAGTATCGCAACTACCTCCAACCACACCCCAACAATTTATTTTTACATACTTTTGGCTACTAATAAGCTATTTCGGGATTGTCTGCACTGTAGGAAATTTGATGTTAACTGGTGCAATAATAAACATTGATTTGTCTTATTTTTACTTCAGAGCTTGCTATGTATCGAAAACTTTGCAAGACTTTGTTGATGAGAAGATATTTTCGCAAAGAAGCGATTTCTTGGTTTACTATGAAACCACTATTCGAGATATCATTTTGTTTTTAAATGAAACTGAGTATCGCAACCATAAAATCAGAAACTGGCTAATATTTTTGTATCTTGGAGTATCGTTTACTGCAGATTTCGGGTTTTACTCTGCCGCTATAGTTCATATTGATAATGGATCTTTAGACATCTCTATAATGGCTATTTCTGCTTTGTCCATATTAGTTATAGGGACTTGCTCTTATATAAATGGTATAATGCTGACAACGGTGAGTGCATTATTGATCATTGACAAGCAATATTATAATATATTTTGTTTGTTTATTATAATATCATTTGTATTAGATGCACTCTTGTGCTAAAAATTACATGAAAGTGACTAAATATTTGCCTTCAGATGTTATATCATTCATAAAGGTAATTTACTTCCTCTAGTTCATTGTGATATTATGATTATTGACTAGTGACATTTTATTTCTAGTTCACCGATTTACAAAGTCGACTTTCTAGAACTGACATTATATTTACTATCGGTGAAATTTTGCATATGACCACCGACGTCTTTGTTATTGTAAGTAGACAATCATTTAGTTTTCTTGTGATCTACTGATATTTTTTGTTTGCAATTAACAGTATTTGATCGAAAATGCAAGCTTGATCATGATGCTCATCGTAAACATGAAATGAAACATGAGTAAGTAGAAAGTACCATTAATATCAAATTTTAATAATTTAAAGGGAACCTAAAAAGTTTGGTGTACCTTAACCTGTAGAGGCGAAATTGTTACTCAAATTGTAAGAATCACTTTCACGCTGTAGACTTGGACTAACAATTGTAAGTTAATAATGTCAAATTATTGTGTGCAAAAAGCTGGTTTACTTTTAGGCTGTAGCACTGGAATTATATTATATCAGCTAATTTAAAGTAGAGTCCACAACTAACTCAGGTTATCAATGTCGTTGAATAACCAAAGTTAAGTTATTAGTAAAAAACGAAAATTATTGAATTTAATTCGTTTTTATGTTTTCTTTTTCATTGAAATTAAGTTCGTCATTTATCGTCAATTCAATAAGCAATGGAAATTGAAATTGGGTCTTGCATTATGATTGCGCCTTTTATCTCGACGTTGCAACAAGAAGCACAGCTCATAAACGAACTTTTAAACTCTATTTTCTCAAGACTTTTTCTTTCGATTTTATGTGCAAAAGAAAAGCATAGCTTTCGGTTTAATATCGATTTATGGATTGTAACGTGCTCAGTCTAAGTCACGTCAATCAAAATACATAATAGATGCACGAAAGAAAAGGTATGTAACAAGGTTATATAATTGGAAAGCAATTCCGGAAGATTAATTACTCTATTGTCTAAATCTGCGAATAATCTGCAGGTATTACCATTAACCATTGACTGTACCATTGATATATTGATCATTTAGAAAAGGATAACAGCAAAGAGTAAAGAAGAAGAGACTGCGATTAATAAAATACTAGTGCTATTATACAGCAACAAATCGGTATTTTATTAATCGCAGTCTCTTCTTCTTTACTCTTTGATAACAGTGATGTTCACTTTTCATAGTTTTTGCTTGAAATAATTTGGTGTCTGGTTTACTATTGTGAATATCAGCACAAAAAATGTACGATTTCACAGACTTGAGACAATGTGTTACCACAGTCTTTACCTTAAGCGGAACCAAAGAAATTGTGACAAAAGCCATTGATTTAGTGTTTGGACTGCATTTAACTGATTACGATGATGAAGAAGCAATCAAAGATTTAAAGCG